GAAATAATCTACGTTTGTATGTAAATTGTTTTCAATTTTTCACATTTCTTATACTTGTCTTACGTATTTACCCATCCCTTTTTTTTGTTTCAAATACAGTATTTGACTCAAAGAAGCGCTGAAATAAGTGTTTAAATACGGACATTGCCAGGCCACTGTCAAATCAAACTTATTTATTTCGTTCTCGACGCATATCGACAAGGAAAAAAGCCTTGAGCTTCAGCGGTGAGCGTTCGCCGAAGAGGCATCCGTGAATGACAAACCAACTCTTATTACTGCAATTACAGTATCCTGAGTGGAGCGGTCGCTCAAAATGTATTTCCGCGCCGCTATATTTCACACCCTCGTCCAACGCTCTTCCATAAGTATATATAAGAACCCTTTTAATAAATTATAACAAAGAACCCACTTTTACGTCATGTTGACACATTTAAAGTTCATATTGTCTTGATTTTTCAGACACCATACTCTTTATAAAGATTATCAATAATTTCACAAAAACGCTAAGCGACAAAACACGTTAATTAATTCGCGTTCCACTGATAGCGATGTACCACATAGTTTCATGATGCGCTCATAAGATAGCAACTTTTATCTGCCCCATACTTAAAATAACAGGTCGACGAGGAAACATATTTTATAATATCATTATATGGGAATGTTATATTTTTATTTCAACATCACTTAATTATTTAAACCGCAAGCGGTTGCAGCGGTTTAAATTGTTATAATAACAATTAACGATAAGGAAAGAATCAGGGTGACGCTCTTATTTTAAATAAGCAATAATTAGCATTTTTTAAACAGTCCTTTCAAATGATCATCACTATACTCTGCAGTAGCGTGCGAATATCTCAAAATCAAACATCCAACAATATTCTGATTTATAAACTTTATTAGGCCAGTTCATACAAGTTTCGTTCAATAAATTTGTATTGTTTTAGAAATGTAAATCACAAAGATAGACAGATATCGAACGAAAAAGCTATTCATTAACTATTCTTGAATCAAATGCACACTTAGTGCTTATTTCTTTTCGTATTACTATTAAATCCATGTAAAGGCTAATGATAACATATAAAAGTGAATTTGTTCTCTCATCTGTTGGTTAGTTGAGCGATTTATCTTGTCCTTGTTATTCAAAATATTTGTCTAGTTTAAAGACAACCCATGAAATGAGAAAGGAGTAATGGAATATTTTGCATGTCTAGTACCAGACTAATGTAACATCCCATCAAAAACATGAAAATATGAAAAGGGGGCCCAAGTACGGTACAAATGACGTCAGAGATTGTCTTGTGGCTTTGCCAATACAAGACTTGAGGTCTGGCAGGATCTATAGGAATGCACACACTTTTAGAACTGCTTGCGAACTTGGCCTTGATTTCACATTTATTTTTGAGTGGAGTATCATTAATTTTTGATCAACTTTATCTTTTTATTAATCCAAATGACATGACCTTCAATGATTTTTCTTACTTTTATGATTGAACTTTACAGTTTTACTTCTTTAATTTAAGCTGTAATGTAGACAATGTTATTGGTGCAGCCAGTTTCAAATACAGTATTTGGTACTAGCCGCACCAATAAATTAGTCGCCTATTTTTTGATGGTTACAATAAATCCTGATGTACTCGTAATTTGCTCATGTCAAGCAGAGGAATATTAAAGCTGATAAAGAAGGGGGAAAAGACGGGCTGAAGATTTAATAAAAATAGCAGGAAAAGGTAACTAAAAACAATGATTAAAAGAGATTGAGGAAGCTTTCACCTAAATGGGGACAGTATAAGTAACTTGAACACATAATCCTACTTATCGTAATTCTATACACTAATAGACTAAAACACATTCGCAGTAAATGTAAATTGGTATGGTCAAATTAAACTTGAAGAATAAAGAAGACGAAGTAGGAGAATAGTGCTTTCATATTACATTTATAGAATGTACCCAGTGTATAATTTTTTACAGCTTCTGGGAGAAGCTGCAGTCTCTGTCCTGGTTAGATTCACTCAGTCACCCCTTACAATATTCATGGAACGATATGGAGTAGTGTATATTTTTACATCGCCATTGCATGGTCAAAGTATTAAAAGAACTTTTATGTTCTCCACAACCAAACATCAGAAGAGTATGGTGAACGTTCTGCATACATCAATATGCCACCAATAAGGTCAAAAGTGCTTCTTATCATAACCCACTAAACGGTTAACTAAACCACACCCATTGTAGGGAGCTATTACCGTAAGGATTAGGAATAACTTTGCATGTAATGTATTCTGCTAAGTATACACTTCAAAATTTTCAGACAATGTGCCCAAAAAGGCACGCAAATCATTCTTCGTCACAACTCTCACTAAGCCATACCATTACCTGGTACCTAATTAGGATATAATATTCTGGTGAATATTGTGTAAAAGAAAATAAAGCATACAACTTTTCAGTAAGAATTTGTTGATTTTTATCATCGTTAGAAGGAGAACTTCAGTCAGATCAATATCAACAGATAACAGAATGATATTACTATCAGTATTGACAATGTGTATTAACACACCTTTTACAAGATTAGTAACTGCAGCGCCAGACATCTCACACCGTTGATGTTGTAGCTGGTCTGGATATTTTATATCAAGTTTTTTTTTTATAGGATAAGGGTGACAAACAAGTACACAGACCACCTGATGATAAATGGTTGCTGTAACCCATACACATCTACATTCATCTTCGATTACAAATCAAAAAGCAGATGCATTTTCACCCATGAAGGACTAAGATGTAATGCCTCATTTCCAGTAAAAAGGGTCTCTGGTTCTCTACACACATCGTACGAAAAACAGCAGCGTTAAGCTGCAATTTTAAGCTGGTATTCTATGAAAGTGTGGTCCTTTGCTGGTCGAGCCGACCCATTCGTACTACAACTATGCTACTAATATAGGTGCAGCAAGGCTCTACTTACACCAGCCATTAAAAACAGATTCTCCTATATCACAACCACATGACAGAGGAATGATTATGGCAAATCAGTTTAAGTCAGAAGAACATTATGTTCAACAGTGGACTCTTGCAGGTTGATCACAATAGTGGTTGTGGGCTAATTATAAAGACACATCAAAATAGTGATTGATCCATCCTAAAGACAATATTGCTTTGTTCACAATGTCTTAACTTACAAACTGATTAGACTACAATATAAATACAGCAATTAAATTTTACCTTAATTAAGGTGTAGATGATTCTAGAGATGAGAGATAATGTCTATCACAAGTTTACCACAACACTCTTACAAGTGGTAAAATTCAAAAATTGGTAGAAATTACTTCAATATAAATAAAATGAGAACATTATCAATGTAGTTGAAATCAATTAAATATACAATAGAAGCATTAGCTTTCAAATAAAAAAATAATCATATTGCTCAACTACAAAAAAGTTCTGAGGTAGTACTCTTAACACTAGAGACACACGCACCCTTAAATACTCCTTGAGCGCACGCGCGGGCTACATGTGTAGACCAGTTACGGATCAATTATTTCTCTAAATAAGACAAAACAATGAGGAAAACACAGCATACAGTTACTAAACATCTTTATTTTTATCAAAATCAACAAAATTTTGATTCCTAAATATAATTTGAAACTTAAACATAAACCTCTTAAAAATCAGCAAATATTTGGAAGGGTTGAGATCTCTTAGTCTTATTTTCATTTAGGAACGTAATATTTATCATTTAAGGCGTTTTTTTGGCCTAATTGAGTTGATAATCAAAGTAAGGGGTAAAAAGTTATTGTTATTATTATTATTATTCAGGACACACAACTGCCTGATGTTCGTTACAACTATGCCTCATACATTTGTTGCATTATTAGCGCATGCTACGGTCACGAGCCCTGCTGTAAAAACACATCAACCCAAAGGCATATTTTGTTGTAGGGGTTGTTCTGCCAATCTTAGAAGTAGTCTGCCTTTCAGTTTAATGCATCTGGGTATATTTTGGTGGGATATGCGACGCTCAATAGAAGGTCTTGCAAGATCAAATTCGACGTCTAGGAGGTATTGATGACGGATCACTTCCATTTGATGGGTATTCATCTGATATATCACCAAACTCTTTATGCCCACCATGTTTACAAAATTGTATAATATCGTAAGAGGCCATCGGTGACTGTTGCGATAAATGTCGTATTGTCTTCACATTTTATCAAAAATGTAGTACTCATGTGATTATAAAATGTGATGATTTCAGGTTTTCTAGCATAACCGGTTGCAGCATAAATTTTGTCATCATTGTGGAGGGTAGACAATAACAATACTCGCTCCAAATGTCGTCGTACTCATTATCCTCCAACAGCCATCTATGTATTTAGTCACACAATCTGGTCGAGTTACGTGCCATCTAAAAAGTGAACAAAACAGTATAAAGCTGCATGGAAAACCTACAAATACCAACAACAAACACTTAAAAATTTAATTAACAGTACGTTTTGTAGTAATACTGCAAGAAATGTGTCATATTTACCTCAATTTCACCACTTGCACACTAAACACTTAATTTCCTCCAATGCACGCGCGGGCTACAGGTGTAGCCCACCAACTTCAAGGAAGATTTTTGCGGACATCCTTGAGCCGTGGGAGTCAGCACGCTGCTGGCGGTAGCGGGGGGTAATACTTGAGGAATACACTAGACGATTACGCTGTAGCACGGCAAGTTAAGATGATATACGACAATATTACACGCTGGGTTACATATGTAGCCCGCGTGTGCACTCTAGTGTTAAAATAATACAGTTGAACACTGCCCACCTTTTTTTGAAGTCGGTTTAAAGGAAGATTATTCATACACAAATGTTAAACTTTTCTGATCTACTAAAACTTCTTATAACATATAAAATACTTCAAATCTTTTATATTAGGTAAAAAAAAGACTTAACACATCACCATAATTTACAGTTAATAAATGAAAGTTAAACCCAAAATCTAATTACACATCTAAGTCTATTTAATTTTCAAGAACTCACCTTAGGTACTCTTGCATGGACTCCTGTTCGTACATCTCTGATGGTAGCTATGTCCAGCATCTCTACTTCCATGTTCTGGTCAGTCCAAAACAAAAAGAAGCCCTTGGGATCAACACGTAGCGTAACAGGAAGACCAGCGCCAGAATCCTAAGGTAAAACACTCATTTTACCAAAATTTCTGATAAAATTAAACTTGAATTTGGTAAAGTTACTCAAGACTAAAATATATAAATCTAAAATATCTATAAACATCCGAAAAGTAAATTTATTAAGCACTTTTTAAACTTTTCAAAGTTACAAAATAAAAGAGATACTCGCCTCATCCCACTTAATAAATTTTTCTCCTTCTTGCAAAGCCTTTGGTACTTCAATTGGCTTCAAACTCACGTTTGCAGATTTTGTTGTGGTAGACATCGCGAATATTAAACACAATTAAATGGAAATAATAACACAGTTGCAGATAAAAACCGTCATCGTCCTTCCCGTGCACAATTTTATATATGAAATCTATGATAGAACGTTTATTAAAAGGCACAGCATCCAAATACAAATTCAATTAAACAATTTTAAATTTATAACACCTTACTGAAAACTGTATTCATAATAAACTCCGCTTATCCCCAGTAACTAACAAATAATAATTTATTCCACATATTCTCAACAAGACGGAACCAGACGGAACTGAAGAAGAAGAACTAGAGATGATCCGATGGTCGATATACATCGATGTATTAGAAAAACTCTCACCGCATCGAATTCTAACGATGTATTTTTAGCGCTGTAAGAGATTCGATGTATCGAAGTATTTCTTTGTTATTTCACGTTGTTATTTCTTTTGTTTGAAATTGTAGTTTTCTACAGTTCTTTAAGCTCGTATGAAGTTTTTCTCTAGGTCTTGTATGGTAACGCTCGCTGACAGAAAGAATTTTTATTTTATTATGAAGGTAGTCTTAATTATTGTCCATTTTAAAATTACTTTTAAATTTCATGGGATTATATGTAACTTCATATCTTATTAGTTTGTGGATAAGTCAAAGAAAGTATTAAGTTAGTTTAGCTAGAACCTCAACCGTTAAGAAAATTAAAAGTGTCATTAAATCATCACCCAGGTAAATAAGAGTAAATAAATAAATACTGCTTAAATATTTTTCACCATAGCGAAACTGAAATCTATTAAAGAGAAAATGAGAAAAATTTATTTTATTTTTGGGAAGGAAATACGAAATATGTTATCATTTCTAATAAGCTTTTTTAATTTAATTCAGCTATTAATCTTATGTTATCAGTATTATCAAAGGTTTTCTACTTAACCCATCTTTTCTTCTCTTTTGCATGTTACCACCATGATTATATTAAACTGTAAAACATTCGATAAGTTGTTAATATGGGTATATTTCATAGGTATTTTTTTAAGTATTTCCTTGTAACATCGATGTCATTGAGCGATATATTACATCGAAACAACATCGATATTTATTTTAAATGTACATCCATATGAAGTACCGAAATACCACCAATTAATAAATGTCAAAACCTATTTATTCGTTCGGAAACATATACCAAAAAGCCAAGTATTAAAATATTTTTTCTTTTATATATTCGATAGGTTCAAAAATTAAGGAATCTACAAATTTTCCCAAACAGTCATAATATTATATGATGAAACAACCGTGTAAGTAATAATTTATGAAACCATGGCATAGTCGGATTCATAATTTATATTTATAATATGTTCTTCTTCTTTTAATTAATGGCAATCTCATAGTAATGAAATCAGCAATTTTTTTAATTATAATTTTTTTCATAACTGGCTTTACGGCTCTGGGTTCTAGCCCTTCTGAGCCTATCATTTCTTTCGGAATCTTCATTTTATATTATTTTTCTTCACAATATGCTGATGCGTCACATTGAGAAGACCTTGGGAGATTTGGACGACAGCTCAACCTAGCGGACAGTTGATGACGACAGCCACTCAAGATCATGAGACGCCCAAATGATCAAAATTACTTGAGGTTTATATCAATATCAAAGCACTTGTTTCGTTGTTTTCTCGTAGTAGTTCACACGCGCAGAAACTTTATTCACAAAATCGCATCACTTTTACGAATCAAAGTCAACTTCAAACCATTATTCAAGCGACTAAACAGGAGCCGAGCAAACGTCTACGCCCATGTTCCCACCAGAACTCCCTATTTCAATTCTTCTTTCACAAACATAGAGTTATAATGGCTATCGACGTACCCTCAGAGTAATTACTAGCATAGAGAGTCTTAAAATAAGAACAAAATTCTTAAAGTCTTTACACAACATATTAGGGAAGGTTGCAAGTACGCCGACCAAGTGCCGATCCAAAATACTCGCAAGATTTCCAAGTATTTGAATATTCTCGCTCTGTCGGCACTCGACGCGATTCTTCTCCTCATTTATATTCTGTTACGGATCAATGTTCTATCAAGGCATATTACTTTAAAGGATTGGAAGTATTATTTTTTGTAATCGCGATTCTGCTTCTTATTTGTATTAATTTACGGATCAATGTTCTATGGAAGTATTTTCTGGCTGTAGGATTGTTGTTAAATACTCTTCTAGATCGTACTAAACTAAAAAAGTTTCTATTCGATCTTGAGAGATTTTATAGGTCGGAAGAAACTTTAATTTTCCTGACTCTACAAAATCGATTGCTGAAAAACCGATGAAACCAACTTTTTTTCGACTCTCTATCAAAGCTTGCTTGTTGTATTTTAAATTTTAAATATATTCACACACTTGATCACATTTAGTAACAACATCTTCAACATTATTTGCATTTAAGGCCTTCTAAAATCCGTAGCTGAGTAAATTTCTGGAGTAGAAATTTCAAACATGCTGTTTAAATGCTTTATAAAATCTGTTAATCCTCCACAATACCAATGCTGCACTTAGGCCTCCCACAAGGAATGCCACAAAGCACGGTCTTGATTTACCTGCATCCATCGACTTCCTGCATGTCTAACGAGGTTGTCACTCCATCTAGTGCGTGATCCCCTACACTTTGCCTACCGGTGTGAGGCTGCCATTCAAGAACCTTTTTCCTCATCGGTTGTCGCTTCTTCGAGCTATATGGCTGACCCATTGCCACTTCCGCTTACTAATCCGTTGAGCTGTGTCGGTTACTTTGATTCAACTACGGATATCTTCGTTTTTAAGTCTATCACGCAGAGAAAGTCCGATCATAGCCCTCTTCATAGCTCGCTGAGCGACTTTGAGGTTCCTCATATGGCCTGCAGTGAAGGATTCATTCTCAGATCCATAGGTGATCGATAGCAACACGCATTGGTTGTACAATCTAGTTTTGAGGTTTTGGGGTACGCCTGACGAGAAAATCTATCGTAATCTCCCGACCTCTGCCCAGCCGATGTAATTCCATTTTCACCCGGGGACTTCCCTTTTTAAGGTGCTGGAGAGTAATTCCAATCACACTCTGACTGACGTCCGGTATAGTATTGTATAAGACTTGCTCTAGCATTGTTAGTCACACTTGCATGTAGATCGAACGGTGATGTGTACAGCTACAGTTTACAGCCCATAGAACCTCTCAATGTTTCTAAAAATCTCAAATGTCCCGGAAAATGCTACCACATTTAATCTTCAGCTTCGATAGTTGGCTCTTTCTGGCAGACAGATCTCTGGCGAAGACTTTGGAGCCCTGGTTCCGCTCGATCGCCTCTTTAATACGAGCTGTATTGAAGTTGCGTAAGTCCCACTGCGTTTGGAGATCTGTCTGTTCAGTTGCCTGTACGCTATCAAATATGCTGAAGACTGCATATTCATCTCCTGTCTGATAGCCATGAGATTAAACGGTGATAGGAGAGTTATTGTGTACTTCTGTGACGGATCTTACAGAATTGAGCTCCGAAAGCGTGGGCAGTTTCCACTATCCTGCCATGCATGTCGTCCACTGTATTATATTCTTCAAGGCAATGAAAACGATTTTGTAACTCGAGCTGAAAGTTTTTGGGGCTTTGAATTAGAGCACAAGGGGTACGCAGCGTTGCCTTCATTAGATGAGACCTCTCCAACTTTACGTATAGATTCAGTGTGCCTCTCACCTTTCTGTGATCGCAGCTAGTTTTCACCCTCGCGATCACTGAGACATCACTGAACAGTTGTCGTCTGGTCGTCATAATGAAGTCAATCTAATATTTTGTCAAACCATCGGGGCTCAACCAGGTCCACTTTCTATGGGGCCGCTTTTGGAAGATAGAGTTCATCTTCATTCTCTTTATCAGATTAAATTAACGTGCATTGATTTATTTATGTATTATTCGAACCGGATTAATCAAAATCCCAAATTTTACTAAAATAATTTATCACTTAATTTTTAGTTCGCTAATGGCACATCAATAGCGGTGTCTATGGAATGATAAAATTGTAACAAACTTGTAAAAGAAAGAAGCTTAGAATAATCTAGCTATTTTATTTTGCATCACGTAAAGTGTTACCATCAGTGTAAAGAGTTCAACAACAAAATTTTTTTTTTAAGATTCTCTCTGTGCTAGTAGTTCATCATCATCATCATTGCAGCCCCTTCACAAGTACACCGCTGAACATTGGCCTCAACCAAAGAATGCCACAAAGCATGGTTCTGAGCCACCTACATTTATCGACTTACTGCATGTCGTACCAAGTCTTCTAATTACTCTGAGGAAAATGAGGGATAATGTGTAATGATGAGTTATAGACGGAACTTAACCGTTGACGTATTGTTGCTACTATTTTATCGTTCAAATAATGGTTTGAAATGGATTATCATACCTAAAATTAAAAGCGATTTTGTATGTTAAGTATGTGTGTACTGTGCACATGAATTATTTGTGAAAACGGTGAAATAAGTGCTTCGATGTTGATATAAACCTTAAATTATTTTAATCATTTAGGTGCCTTATGAACTTGAGGGACTATCATCATCGAATGTCCGCTGTGTTGATAAAAATCTTAATAAAAAAGTGTCATTATCTGCGCTAGTAGAAATGCGTCGTACTTGCAAAATCGAGTACCAGGGCTTCCAAGTACATCAAGCTTCAGATACCAGCGCCAAAAACCAGGGCACGAGATACTTTCAAGTATTTTATTTCTACATAGAAAATTGATTCGTACTTTTATACAAATAAGGAGTACAATCGCATATGCTTAATTAGTAAACTTCCAAGCCTTGTTGTATGAAAAATACTTGCATAGAACGTTGATCTGTAATTATATACAAATAAAGAACACAATCGCGTTTACATAAAAAAATCTTTTAAACCCTAAAACGTTCCGATTTTCAAGCCTTGTTGGAAGAAAAATACTTGCATAGAACCTTGATCCGTAACTTAATACAAATAAGAAGCAGAATCGAGTTTACAAAAAAATACTTCCAATCCTTTAAAGTAAGT